GATAGTTGTGAGTTTGTTCTTCTTTTACTGTTCATAGTTTTGATCTTTTTGTTAGATAACTCCCTTTAACATTTCATATAATAAAAGCTTCATGATGATGAACTCCTTTAACATGACCTTATCTAGAAAGCACTTTATCTGCCCTCCCACTCTAAATGATAGTTTTGCTTCATAGAGAAATGTTGGATGCAGGTCTTTGCATTTCATGACTTTGAGTACTTTTTTCCAGCCATTTCTTGCCTGCAAGGTTTCTTTAGAGAAATCAGCTGATAGTCTTATGTGCACTCCTTTGTAGGTAACTGTCTCCTTTTCTCTTGCTGCTTTTAAGATTCTCTCCTTATCTTTAATCTTGGGTAACTTAATTATGATGTGCCTTGGTGGGCTCCTTTTTGGGTCCAATTTGTTTAGGATTCCCTGAGCTTCCTGGACTTGTAGGTCTATTTCCTTCACAAGATTGGGGAAGTTTTCTGTCATTATTTGTTCAAATAAGTTTTCAATTTCTCATTCTCCCTCTTCTCCTTCTGACACCCCTATGATTCAGATGTTGGAATACCTAAAGTTGCCTCAGAAGTTCCTAAGTCTTTCCTCATTTTTTGGAAATTTTCTTTGTTTATTCTGCTACAGTTGAATGTTTATTTCTTTCCTCTGGTCCAAATCATTGATTTGAGTCTCAGTTTCCTCCACCTCACTGTTGGTTCCCTGTATATTTTGCTTTATTTCACTCTGTATAGCCTTAACATCTTTCTTTATTTTGCAGCCATACACAATCATTTTTGTGAGCATCCTGATGACCAGTGTTTTGAACTCTGCATCTGATAGGTTGGTTATCTCTTTATCACTTAGTTCTTTTTCTGGAGTTTTGATCTGTTCTTTTGTTTGGGCCATATTTCTTTGTCTCAGTGCACTTGTTGTGTTGTAAGGGGTGGAGCCTTAGGTATTCACCAGAGCAGGGCAACCAAGCAAAGTGGCTCTGTATGCGGGGGTGTGGTCAATGAGGGAACAATGTTGCTTGCTTGGGTCTCACCCCACTTTTAAGAGAATGGAAGCTTCTCCTGCTGCCACACCCCCAGAGATTTTTACAGCCAGAGGTTTTGAGGCTTTATTTTGCCAGCACTCAAACACTGGGTTACATGGTCTATCTCACTATCCAGTTGTTCCTCCTGGTTTATCCACCATGAATGCTGGACCACCAGGTCTGCCAGCTACTGCCTTGCTGTGCATCCCATCTCTGCCCCTCCTACCAGTCTGGATAAAGGTTTCTTCTTTAATTCCTTGGTTGTCAGACAAACTTACAGCTCCATTTTCTGGCAGTTCTGATTGTTTTTTTTTTAAATTGGTTGTTTCCTACTTTTGGTTTTGTGAGGAGGTGGAGCATATCTACCTATACCTCTATCTTGGCTGGTACTCCTAAATTCTACTTTTTTGAAGATAGAAATTGGTTTCATTCTTATCAACTATGTTACATATTCAACTCACCAAGACTATATTTGCAAACGCAGATGTGTTTTATTTCATATGCTGAAGAAAACAAAAAGGATTATAAAAGGGGTGAGACTAAGAGAAGTCATAGTTATGTTCTGTGATGCCTTTGCCACAATGCATTGGAGGAGATATGCTAGCAAAAGTATCCAACCTTTTGTTTATCCAAAGCCATACAACATTTGAGAAATACTTTGTAAAAACAGATTCCCAATGTACTGCTCATTTTAGATTTAGAAAAAATTCTTTTATCGAACTAGTGTTATTACCATACTCTACTTGATTCCTAGTTTCTAGAAACAAGACTGCAAATATAGCTGCTTCCAAGTAAGAAATCAAGTAAGTCCTTTTACAAGCAAGAAGTTTCTGAGTCATTATTTCACTTGATTGTTCTCTCATTTAATAAATACCAATTGAACATCTTCCATGTGTCAGGTATGCTGTCAGTGACCATGATTGTTTTGACTGTTATATCCCCAAATGTCATGGTGGTACCTCTGGTTGGAGAAACAACTGTTAAATAACAAGTTATACCATTTTGATTTATTTTATTAAACTTAAACAAACAGACAAAAATTATAATATGAAAACATTTAACCAAGTTACCTAATCTAATCTTTGAGGATGATGTTTGAGCTGAAATTAAAAGAATGAATTGGAGAGAAGAATGTTCTAGAAAGAGAAAACATTGTAAAAATGTCAATGCCTCTTAGATGTGGAAATGCTGTTTTATAAGAGATATAACATGTAATTCAAGAGTAAAGGTTCTTAGAAGGACAAGCTCTTAACATTAACCTCTAGGTTACCCCTGGAAGAGGAATGAGGAAGCATAAATTGGAAGGAATTAAAGCAAACCCTTTTTACTTTATTTCTACAGTTTAACCTGTTTTAAGAGAACATATGAATATTTTGCTCATTTAAAAAAATGATTATATGGTACTGTTTGTCCTTGAGGGTGAGAATCATAATTCTAGACAGTAAGTTGATGGTTCAGATAAAATTTTCTTGTTACCTAGTGTTAGATGTTATTAACAATTAGTAAAAGTCAGCAAGTACTTGATTACTATCTTATTTTAAATATTTTTCTTTACTTATTTTCTTTCTTTCTCTTTTAACTAAGTAATGATTTATTACTTTTTTCATTCACTTATGGAAATGTACTCTGTGCCTACAGCCTGTGACTGCTACATATATGGCCATCCCACTTCTTATCTGTATTTTGTAAAATTGGATCATTCTGAAAAGCATGACTTAGTACCTAACATGAAACTGAACTGAATGGAACTTCCTTCATAATGAATTGTCTGGCTTCCTTCTCCCCTCATTTCAGACCATATGCACCATCATTCATAAACTGTATCAAGCATGCTGTCATATTCAAAATGTACGTCTAACATGCAGGTCTCTTGGATGCTCCATTTACATATCTCTAGCCTACTATCGATCTGCCTCTCCAACCTTTATTTTCCTATAACCTCAGTGTTGTCCTCTCCACTACACCTTCCTTGTAATTTATCTCTTGCATTTCAAATCTTTGAGATGAGGAGGCTAACTTTCTTCCTAATTTCAGATTGCAACCAGAAGGCATCTATTAACAATCATTTAATAGATTTTAAAGCACTGTATTCAGGGTTCAGTAATATTCTGATTTGTTACTCAGCAGGCCTGAAGCCTGATATTTAGTTCTACTATAAACTTGTTTCCTTGGCATATTTTTTCAGCTGGGAATAACATGGGACTAGAAACAAGAGGACCCAGGTCCAAGTCCTGGCTTCTGCATTTGGTTTAGCTAGAATTATGACTTCCTGAGGAGACTTACCCAGGTCCTCTGGGTTTCCACTTCCTCATCTGTAAAGGCAGGAAGAGCACACCAATCTTTCTACCTCACCCTTAGGTATGAGTCTCGTCCTTAGGCACTCCCATCTCCTCTTGATCTCAGTTTAAATACCTTCTCTGACCTCTTAGCCAAGGATAGCAGACTCCAAAATGTACATTTCCATAGCATCTTGCATTACCTCTTTAAAATCCCATTATTCTTATAACTGCTAGTTCAGTGCTTCTTTTTCTCCTTCCACCATGAAGTTCCTTGTAAGCTCCTTAGGGTGGGGGCTGTACTTGCCTTGTTCAGGACAATTTTAATGTCAATAAATATCACTTGATGGATTACTGAATAACAAATATAAAAATGCTTTTTAAGAAAGATACTACCATCACAACTACAATTGTTGTTATTGTTATTACTCTTAGTAGAATTGTAAGAGTAAAGGTGGTTGTAGTTGAATCATTAGTAGATTGTCAACATAAAATATACAATAAAAAGAAAGACAGAAAATAACATTAACTATTATCAATATTCTTTGAAAACTCTTCCTGTGTTTCTTTCTCTATCCATTTAATGGGTAAAAACAAAATATATATGACTAAGTGGCAATATGGTCCACAATCAACTATAGTCCACAGTAATAGTTCAAAATACTGTATTTTGCTACATAGGTACCAACCCTTGAAACATACATGTCTGCACATGGAGAAAGATCTAAAAAAATTTATATTCTCATTCTAAAGCAGATGAAAAGCACTTCCCCAAATTATGGGAGGGATATGAAGAACTATGCAAAGCAGCCCTTGGGAGAACAGGATTTGTAACTAAAAAACAAAAGGAAGTGAAGAAAGTAAAATTCTCTAGAAGGAAGAATTAGTTTTCTGTTCCTATGGTGGAGCTGCTGGATTTTTCACCCTTAGAGAGAAGGTTAATGGGAGTAGTGAAATGCTATGGAGCAATAGGAGTGCCACTCTTGGGAATGTGACATAGTTTTGAATAAGTGTTACTGATGTCAGAGGACAGGAAAAAGAAACAAAGCAAGAGAAGATGCCAGTGTGGTTGACCAAACAAAACAAGGAGTTTATGGGCCAAAACAAGAAGTTCAAGGAGTTGGGCTTTATGAGGAGCTCAGAGCAGGTGTTAAGTCCGGAAAGTTCATAGGCCAGAGAACTGATGGCCCATCCCCTGATCACTTCCCAGGACTCTGGGAGCCCACCTGCAAGCCCCTCACATTGTATTTGCTGCTGCTGCACTTTGGCTTGGAAACACCTTTATTAAATCAAGTTGCTCAGAGAGCTTGCAGATGCAAAACAACATATTGCCTATTAAAGATATTCCTTCCCAGGTACTTAGTGAAGTACTCAATTATGTAAATTGTGATTGTGACCTCCTGCCCCCACATAACCCAGGCCTTTGTAGAATATATTTATAAGATTTAATATGACAATAAAAATGTTCATTGATTCAAAACTTCTAATGTGCCATTACCTGTGTGGATTTATGCAATAGCTACCAAATCCCCACTGTGTATCTAAAAAATGGTAGGTCCTGGGAATACAAGATGGAGGAAAATACTGTGCCTAACTAAAGGACCACAAATTTAGGGAGATCTAGACTTAGAGAACTGTGGATTTTCTTGTATAAAATAAGAGTCAAAAGCCTTCACTTAGTGGGTTCTAAAAATGGCATTGTCCTGTACCTGGAGGCAGGCTGGGGCACGTCCCTGGGGCTTGTTGACATCCACAGCTACCAGTTGCCATCCTCCTGCAGGGTCTTCATGAAACATCTTCAAGACAGAGAGGGAGATGAGTCAGAGACACTTCATAAAGAACATTAAATACTGAACTCTGTCTCCAGCTTTTTATGTGATCAATGATTTATTTTCTCATGTATTTATATATACATATTTAAATTTTATTATATTTTGATTATGCTATTAAAATTGTCCCACCTTTTTCTCACCTTTATTCCCCTTTGCCCTGTAACCCTCTTCCCACTATCACCCGCACCTTAGTTCATGCCCATGGATCATACATGTAAGTTTTTGGGCTTCTCCATTTTCCATACTATTTGTAACCTCCCCCTGTCTATTTTGTACCTACCATTTATGCCTCTTATTTTCTGTACCTTTCCCCCGTTCATCCCACTCCCTCTTCTCACTTATAACCCTTCATGTGATCTCTATTTCTGTGAATCTGTTCCTGTTGTGGTTGTTTGCTTTGCTCATTTTTGTTTTTGTTTTTTAGGTTCAGTTGTTAATAGTTGTGAGTTTGTTGTCATTTTACTGTTTATAGTTTTCATCTTATTTTTCTTAGATAAGTCCCTTTAACATTTCATATAAGAAGGGCTTTGTGATTATGAACTCCTTTAATATGACCTTATCTGTGAAGCACTTTATCTGCCCTCCCATTCTAAATGATAGCTCTGCTGGACAGAGTAATCTTGGATGTAGGTCCTTGCCTTTCATGACTTCAAATACTTCTCTCCAGCCCCTTCTTGCCTGTAAGGTTTCTTTTGAGAAATCAGCTGACAGTCTTATGGGAACTCATTTGTAGGTAACTGTCTCCTTTCCTCTTGCTCCCTTTAAGATTCTCTCTTTATCTTGAGTAATGTAATTAATTATGAGGTGCCTTAGTGTGTGCTTTCTTGGGTCCAACTTCTTTGGGACTCTCTGAGTTTTCTGGACTTCCTGGAAGTCTATTTCCTTTACCAGATTGGGGAAATTCTCTTTCATCATGTTTTCAAATAAGTTTTCAATTTCTTGCTCTTCCTTTTCTCCTTCTGGTAACCCTATGATCCTGATGTTGGAACTTTTAAACAAGTCCTGGAAGTTCCTAAGTCTCTCCTTATTTTTTTGAATTCTTCTTTCTTGATTCTGTTCTCATCGAATGTTTATTTCTTCCTTCTTTTCCAAATCGTTGATTTCAGCCCTTGTTTCCTTCCGTTCACTGTTGGTTCCCTGTACTTGTTCCCTTATTTCACTTTTTTTAGCCTTCACTTTTTCCTCTATTTTGCAACCATACTCAACTACTTCTGTGAGTAGAAGTAGTTGAGTTACAACTACTTCTGTAATCCTGATTACCAGTGTTTTGACCTCTGCATCTGATAGGTTAGCTATCTCTCCACCACTTAGTTGTATTTTGGGGGTGCTTTGATCAGTTTTCATTTGGATCATATTTCTTTTTCTTGGCATGCCTATTACATAGTAAAAAGTGGAACCTTAGATATTCACCAAGGAAGGGTAACCCACATCACTGCATTGTGGTGCTATTTGTGTGGCAAGGGTCTGAGAGGGAACAGTGCAGTTCACTCCCTCATCTCTTGGTGGTTGACAGTTACTTTCTCTGCTACTGATAAGCAAATTGGGCCTTTCTGGTGCTGATTCCTGGGTGGGTAGTTTTGTGTATGTTCTAACCCTATGGGTCTCTTCAATGAACTCCCCTGTGAGGTTGGGAGTTTCTCCTGCCACCTCAACCCCCATAAGTTTTTACAGCCAGAGGTTTTGAGGCTTTATTTCCCTGCACTGGAATCCTGGGTTATGTGGTCTGTCTCATTCCTCTCATTTTATCCTCACACAAATGTGGGACCATCCACTCTGCCAGCTGCTGCCTCGCCTGTCTTGGTCCTCCAGCTGCTGCCTTGGTGTGAGTCCTCTCCACTCTGTCTGTCTATCTCTGCCCCTTCTAATGGTCTAGATGAATGTTCTTTAACTCCTTGGTTGTTGGACTTCTATACAGTTTTATTTTCTGGCAGTTCTCGTTATTTTTTGTTTTTAAGTTTGTTGTTGTCCTTCTTTTGGTTGTGTGAGGAGGCAAAGTGTATCTACCTATGCCTCCATCTTGGCTGGAAGTCCCTGGACTTATATTTAAAACTTAAGTCATTTCAATTAAGTTCATTTTAACACTGAAAACGTAAATGAATAATAGTAACCAGAATAATGGTAATGACTTGCATATATTAAACATTTGCTATGTATCAGGTCCTTTCTGCCTTATATATTTTGCATGTAATTGCCCAAATGTTCTTCTCCTCAAGACTTTAAAGTAGGAATTTTATCTCCATTGAATTTATTATTACATATTAGATATGAAAGAAATTGAAAATTAAAATGTCAAAGCATTGTATCTGATATTCATTTTTACTAGAAATGTTGAATTTTTATCTTTATTTGGTGTATATTTCTAACTGAGGCAACAGAAAAATAATCTTAAGATAAATAATATAAGAATTGTATATGTGGTGCAGAAATAGAGGCTAATGTTATTTTAATGAAATGAGACAGATATGTCACTTAATAGACTTTGTGAAATTATTTTAACTATGCCAAATTAATCTACTCAAAAGAAATTTTATGTACATGTTAATAAAGGAAAAAGGTAGTTTCTTTTGCTTAAAATACATAAGTGATAAAATTCAGGACAAGACACTACTTACAGTTCAGGATACAAAATCTGACATCCATTGAATTGGCAATTCAGTTTTTTGGATGCCTATGTTATTATCCTACTGCATACTTTACTATCTTAAAAATTAGTCATCTGTCAATACTATACCTGGCTGGAAGATATTTTCCAGTAACATATATTCTTTCCAATTCTTTAGTGGTATGTATGTGCATGCATTGAAGTGATAGTGGGATAATGTGAAATTAAGGATTTTTATTTTTAAGAAAAGATACTACAAGCACTCACTGTTTTCTTCCTCCTAAGCCTTCTGTTTCATATACATAACTAAACATCTCTGCTATGTCCTCATGTTAGTTTGCCTCTGTGTTCCAGAGGGGAATTGTTGATGGAAATATAAGATGATACAAAAATTCTATTACTTAAGATTTATAATTATAACTTCAAACTTTTGGTTAGAGTGGTAGTGGATCATATGCAAAAAAGAAACCTTGCCCTCTATAAAATAAGTGAGGAGGGTTAGAGACAGCACCAAAATTCATAGACCATATATGTATTATTAAAATGTCAAAATGGAGGTGCACGTTTATACAAAGATTGTTTAATCAAGATTGCAATTACAAATTGTCTTTCACAGGTGTCCATTTATAGGATTCTAATTCCCTTTACAATAATTTTTTAAAATTTAATAACATTTATTTAATTCAGTAGATACAAAAATCTCATTTCTATATGTAAAAGAATTATTAATTCATTATTTTGCATTTTGGAGGCCACATCTAGGAACCTGGTAACATTTGGCCTTTAAATCACATCTCAAGTTCTTGGGAGACTTGTGGCTACTGGATTAAGAATGTGCAGCTACAGATGAGTCTCATGAAAACTCAATGACTCCCTCTCCACTACAGCCCTGTCCTCCCCACTCACTCAAGTTTATCACTGCTAGTGTTTCTCCCCTCTCCCTTACCCGCCCCCCTTCTATATCCATTCCTCCCTTGGCTAGAGCTTTTCATCAGCATCTACACATTCTTCTGTTTCCTTTCTTTTCTTTTCTTTTTTTTTAAGATTTTATTTATTTATTTATCTTTAGAGGGGAAGAAGAGAGGGAGAAACATCAATGTATGGTTGCCTTTCATGCGCCCCCTGCTGGGAACTGGCCTGCAGGGAACTGGCTTGCAACCCGGGCATGTGCCCTGACTGGGAATCAAACCACTATTCTCTGGTTCGAAGGCCTGTGGTCAATCCACTGAGCTACACCAGCCAGGTATGTTTCCTTTATTTTCAAGAACAAACAAATTACCTTTCAGTTACTGCAGCTACCAACCTTGTCTGTGGCCATATCTGCAGAAAACTTCTTAAACAAGTAGTTTGCCTCATATCTCCAATTCTCTCCTCTTATAACTTCTCTTAAACATTCTTTCAGCCTCATTTACTCTAAAGCTTCCTCTGCTCGAGGTCCCCAATCATTCCTCCTCTTTGGAGACTTCCCAGTGGCTTCCAGGCCCTGTGGCTGCTGTTCCCCCACCCACAATGGTCAGTCTCTGCTCTGTCTCCTTTGCTCGTTCTTCTCATATTCCCAGTCTCTCAGGCTCAGTCCTTAGTCTTCTTCTTCTGTTTCTCTCTCCACTTACTGTCTTGAATTCTCATCCAGTCTGGTGACTTTCTCTATGACAACGACTCCCCAAACCTGTCTCCCAAACTTCAGTCTTTTGAATCCAGTTGTCCACTCACCATCTTGAAATTAATATATCCAATTCTGATTTTCAGATTTTATATTCCAAACCTTCTCTCAGGTTCCCTTTTCCCCATTGATGGTTACTGCACCCTTCCAGTCACTCAGGACAAAACCTTAGTTAAATCCTCAACCTCCTTTTCAAATTTCTCTCGAACCTGCCAGCCAATGCCTCAGGCAATCCTACCTCTTTCACCTTTAAAATGCATTCAGAATCCAGCCAGAGCCACCCCCATCTAGATTCTAACCTCAGTCCTGCCAGTGTCTGCTCTTGGACACAGAACAACCCCATCCTGGTCACCCAATACACCTCTGGCCTCAGTCCTTGCATCTGAACAAGAAGGGCTGGACTTCATCACAGCCTTATAAATGAGGAGCAAGAGATTGAGCACTCAAATGGAAACATACACCATGTTCACGGATTGGAAGAATTAACATCATCAAAATGTCCATACTACCCAAAGCAATTTACAGATTCAATGCAATACCTATTAAAGTACCAATGGCATATTTCACAGACATAGAACAAACACTTCAAAAATTTATATGGAGCCACAAACGACCCCAAATAGCAGCTGCAATTTTTTAGAAAGAAGAACAAAATAGGAAGGATCACAATACCTGATATCAAGCTATATTACACAGCCACTC